ATAAATGTATTGGTGTGTGTAAGAACAGGAAGGGATAACTGAGTTTTTTTTTTTTTTAAGTAAGTAGAGGTTTCATGATGTTGAGAGATCTGGGTGTTTCATAGATGGATTAGAAGTTTGTTGATATGTCAGTTAAAGGGGAGATTCTGATTTGATTTGATTTTTTTTTGTAGGAATGGGAAGGGGGGCGAATTCAATGGTTCATTTTTTTAAAATAATGTTTGTGAGATGGTAGAGAGGAAAAAGTAGTGATTAAGTGTGATTTTTCTGTGTCCTAATTCCACTGAGGCCGCGCGCGCCGTGTCCAGACTGACGTAGTGTGTGTTGATGTCGGGCCCGGCGCCGCCCCCCCGCGACCGAGGGGCGCGCCGGGCCCTCTCTGTGTGTCTTGATGCCTGTCTTGATGTGGACCCGCCCCTCATTTTGTTTTGTTTTGTTTTTGTTTTGTGTTTTGCAGAGTGACCCTCGTTCCACCCCCACGTCCAAGTCTGGTGGGGGGAGCGGCGCCCCCTCCGGGCCCCCTGGCTCCTCCGGCGTGAAGCCCCCCGGCGCCCCCCCTGGTGGTGCCGGTCCGTCCCCTCACTACCCCCCCTCCCCCTACCTGCCCCCCGGCGCCGCTGGGCCCCGACCTGACCTGCCCCCCGGCCCGCCCCGCCCTGACCTCCCGCCCTCCGCCGCCTACCCCCCAGGGCACCCTAACAACTACCTCCGCCCACCGGTAAGTCTGCGCCCTCACCCACGCCCGCACCTGGTGCTGCCTTTTCTTTTGTTTGTTTGTTTGTTTTTCCATCTTGCCACCCGCGGTGCAGCTGGCGAAGCGCGGGCGCCCCCGGGCCGCCCACTCGCCAGCTCGCCCGCCGCCTGCCTTGCTGTATATACTGTCAATAGCCCGCACCGCTTCCCCCGCACTCCACGCTCTCTGTTGTCTCGCACCGGCCTCGCTTCCTAACACTGGCGTTGTCATATATCTTTCGTGTGTATCTCCCCCCCCCCCTCGGGCAGGCCCTAACGCCGTCTTCTCCGTCTCCGCAGGGCTCCGGCTATGACCCCCACGGTGTGCGGCCGCCTCCGCTCGCTTCCAACGGCATTCCAACCAACGGCTCCGCTGGGAAACCGTAAGTTGCCTCGCTGCTTCGGGGTTTCGTGGTGGTGGTGGTTTACCTTCTGAAGTTTTTTCTTGCTGACACGGTGCTGCTTCCGCTGCCTGGAAGTGGCGTCCATCGAGCCAGTGTACTAACCCGTTCGTGTCCCGTTCTTTGCAGGGCATATAGCTTTCATGTGAGCGGCGAGGGCCAGCTGGCCCCCGTGCCGTTCCCCTCGGACGCGCTGTTGGCCCCGGGCATTCCTCGGCACGCGCGGCAGATCAACACGCTGCACCACGGCGAGGTGGTGTGCGCCGTCACCATCAGCAACCCCACCAAGTACGTGTACACGGGCGGCAAGGGCTGCGTCAAGGTGTGGGACATCAGCCAGCCCGGGTCCAAGACGCCCGTGTCGCAGCTGGACTGCCTGCAGCGGGATAACTACATCAGGTCCGTCAAGCTCCTGCCTGACATGCGCACCCTCATCGTGGGCGGCGAGGCGTCCACCCTCAGCATCTGGGACCTGGCCACGCCCACGCCCAGGATCAAGGCAGAGTTGATATCCTCCGCCCCCGCGTGCTACGCCCTGGCCATCAGCCCCGACTCCAAGGTGTGCTTCAGCTGCTGCAGCGACGGCAACATCGCGGTGTGGGACCTGCACAACCAGACGCTGGTGCGGCAGTTCCAGGGCCACACGGACGGCGCCTCCTGCATCGACATCTCGCCCGACGGCACCAAGCTGTGGACGGGCGGCCTCGACAACACGGTGCGGTCGTGGGACCTGCGCGAGGGGCGCCAGCTGCAGCAGCACGACTTCACCAGCCAGATCTTCTCGCTGGGCTTCTGCCCGACCGGCGACTGGCTGGCCGTGGGCATGGAGAGCTCCAACGTGGAGGTGCTGCACGTGAACAAGCCCGACAAGTACCAGCTGCACCTGCACGAGTCCTGCGTGCTCTCCCTCAAGTTCGCCTCGGCCGGCAAGTGGTTCGTGTCCACGGGCAAGGACAACCTGCTCAACGCGTGGCGCACGCCCTACGGCGCATCCATCTTCCAGGTAAGTTGGATTTGTGTTTTTGTATTGCTTTCCTGAGTGAGTTTTTGGCAAAAGTCTTCAGCTAATACCTTTCCCTCCCCTAATGAGCCCCGCCTCCCGTCTCCCGCAGTCGAAGGAGTCGTCCTCGGTGCTGAGCTGCGACATCTCCGCGGACGACAAGTACATCGTGACGGGCTCGGGCGACAAGAAGGCCACCGTCTACGAGGTCATCTACTAAAGTGGCCGAGCCGCCGCGACCTAGTGCCTGGACCCCGCAGGAGGGGCGTCTCCTTAGGGATATTCAGGGCACCCCGAGAGGGCGGCAGAGGAGTAGATTTTGCCGTGTGGACCGTGGTATCCATAAGCGATGCGAAGGCGCCAGAGTGGCAGTGTACAGCGACCGGGCTTGCCCCAAGTGATAGCGTTCATCTTTTATAATGAAGCATTTTATGTGATTCGAGGGCGGGTCCGAGTAGATTAGAGGAACTTACTGGATCGGATCGGTGGTGTTCTCCGCGGCGGAAGCAGAGCCGCCGGCGCCCTTCGGGAGCCGACCCCGCCGCCGCCGCCGCCGCCGCCGCCGCCCTGTGTGTCTCGAGGAGCAGCGAGTCCTGCAACAAAAGTGGATCGGGAGGGCGTCACTCGCGAGGCGGGAGTGGATCAGAACACTTACCATAGGTACATTTAGCTTCAATGGATAATTCAGTAGGTTCATTCCTTTAACCTATTTTAGTTGTCCTTATTGGTTCCAGAGCCATTTTAGGTTCTACTATGATTTCTGTCTCGATTATTAGGAGACCTCATGTAAAGTATTAAAGCTATTCCCAAGGTCTTGCTCACACGAGAGGCAACAAAGGCTCTGAAATCCCATTCGGAAACTTGCCGAAAAAGTAGGCATCGAAGTCGGTCTTCACGGGCCCCGCCCAGGGGGGAGGGGGGAGGGGAGGGGCATAAGGGAAGGGCCGGCCGTCTGTGTGACCTTGGCCGAGGGCGGAGGAGGCGCGCCCACGGGACAGCCCTTCCTGCGGCGTCTGCCCGGGAAGACCGACCTTGAGGGTCTACGTTGAAGGTCCTTGGCTCAACGCCTTCGTCAGGATTCTTATGTTTTGAGTTCTTCGAGTGCCAGTGATCGACTTCAAGTGGAAAGACTGAAAAGCCTCCTTTGCAACTTGTGTTTGTCTTGTTCTCTTGAAGGCGTTGGTGAGTGTGACTGGGTTACCTGACGGTCCGGAAGAAGGGTCGTCTCGACTTAAACTAAGACGTGTAGACGTGTCAACCATCGCCTCTTAAAGACGTTCGTGCTGGAGACCTTCAGAAAATTCTTGCAGCCAAAAAGATAACTTAAAAAAAAGAAAGAAAAGTGAAAGGAAATTTCTCCGATGGTGGTTCTCCATTAACCGTTGCGCCAATAAGCCCTGGTACTTCTTGTTTCCTCTGTTTTGTGGTTATCATCCCCTCCTTCCCTCACTCCCTCTACTCCCCCCATCACAGTCCCTCCCCTCATCTCAATCCCTCCTTCTCCTCCCCCCTCCTCTTCCCTTCTCTTCCCTCCTCCTCCTCCTCCTCCTCCTCCTCCTCCTCCTCCTCCTCCTCCTCCTCCTCCTCCTCCTCCTCCTCCTCCTCCTCCTCCATCTCCATCTCCATCGCTCAACCCAGCAACTCTCACGTGCCATTGTTTAGGTGGTCATGCGCACCCCCCCCCCCCCCCTGAAGGCCCCGCCCGCCGCCCACCCCGGGGAGGAAATGATTACACTTGTGCCATTCAGGAATCGTAGTTTTAACTGGCAGACGACGGCGACGGGGGGGTGGGGAAATTTCGCGAGTGTCAGTGTGCGGTGGGGTTTTGATCGATTGGTTTGGATACTTGAGTCATTAAGTGGGTTTTTTTAATTGATGATTGAAAAAATAACGAGATTGACCTTTTAAAGAGAGAAGCCTTTCCGAGTTTGTTTCGTTTCCTCAACGCGTGGGGCGCCCTTGTTCCCCGGAGCGCAGTGTGCGATATCGGGCCACTCGATCGGGAACGGCGTCGGCCTCCGTGCACGACTTTCGCCCCTCTCCCCCCTTCCCGTCCTTACTCCCCTCTCCCCCTCTCCCCCTTCCCATTCTTCCTTCCCTATCCCCCCCCTTCCCATCTTCCCTTCCCTCTCTCCCTCCTCCTTCCCGTCCTTTTCCATCCTCCTCTTTCAGTGAGGGTAAGGGGAAGGAGAAGGGGGGAAGGGGGAAGGGAAAAGAAAAAAAGGGAAGAAGAAGGGGAAAGGGAAGGAGTGGGCAGGAATAACACCCCCCCCCCCCCCCCACCCACGACCTGGCTTGGTGCTAGCTATCTTCGCGTGGGTGTGATGACGAAGTGGCGACGCGTGCTGTATTCTTGAGGAGACATCACCAAAGTACAAAGAAAGAGTGATTAAGAATAGTAAAAAAAAAAAAAGAAAATGAAATAGAAAAAAAAGATTTTTGATCTCTGCATTTTTTATAATGATGTACCTTTTGTATTAGTGAGCCGGAAGAAACAAAGAAAGATAGACAAACAAAACAAGAAAATGAATGAATAAATAAATAAATAAATAAATAAATAAATAAATAAATAAATAAATAAATAAATAAATAAATAAATAAATAAATAAATAAATAAATAAATAAATAAATAAATAAATAAATAAATAAATAAATAAATAAATAAATAAATAAATAAATAAATAAATAAATAAATAAATAAATAAATAAATAAATAAATAAATAAATAAATAAATAAATAAATAAATAAATAAAAACTTTACCCCCTCAAAAAAAAAATATATATATACATAAATACAATTTACTTTTTAGTAGTGGTTTCACGTCTATTTTTCGCTATTGTCTCTCTCGTCTCAGAGGAAAAGTCTCTCACACTGTATTGCATCATGTGTTTAGGATACGTCTGCTGTGTGGAGGGAATGGCAGAGGCCTCGGTCGGTGGGAGTCTTGAAGGAAAAATGGCCGGGTGTTGCCTCCAATTTTTTTTCTTTTTTTGCTTTTGCTTTCCACTCCCCTCCCCCCACACACACCTTTTTATTCCGCACTCGTCACGTGTCGGTGCTTGTCGGCGGTCGGGGGTCGGGGGTCCGGCGCTACCGTCTCGGTTGGGGTAGTTAACGAAGCTTGAAAAACAAACAAACAAACAAACAAAAAAGGAAACGAAATTAAAGATGTCTGTCTGCGTTTTCTCCCGTTCAAATTCGCGATTCATTAGTCTGAGCGCCGGCTCTCTCTCTCTCTCTTTCTCTTTCTCTTTCTCTTTCTCTTTCTCTTTCTCTTTCTCTCTCTCTCTCTCTCTCTCTCTCTCTCTCTTTCTCTCTCTCTTTCTCCCCCTCTTTCTCCCCCCCCCCCCCGACACGACAATATACCCCCCCCCCCCCCCTCGCTTCGAGGTTCGAGCGTCGGAAGGAATTGAAATATGCGACCGTGTTAGGAGGGAGGGAAGGGGGGTGCTCCCTCAAGGTATGCCCCACCCGGAGTTCGTAACCTCCCTTTGTTCGAGTTGTGAGATATGATTTCGTCTCTTAACCTCTCCTCCCCCTCCCCCTCATTATCCCCTCTCCCTTCCCCCCCTCACTCTCTCCCCCTTCCCCGTCACTCTCCCCTCTCCCTTCCTCCTCACTCTCCCTCTCCCTTCCCCGTCACTCTCCCCTCTCCCCTCTCCCTCATTATCCCTCTCCCTTCCCCTCACTCTCCTTCCCCTCACTCTCCTTCCCCCTCACTCTCCCCTCCCCCTCACTCTCCCCTCCCCCTCACTCTCCCCTCAATGGTCAACGTAGGAGCAGGCTCCGCAAAACACTCGTGACTCTCAACTAGTTTGGTGACTTCCCCTTTCTTTCTCTCTCTCTTTATTTCGTTTTCCTTTTTTTATACACAATGGAAAGGCGAGGATACCATGGGCCCGACGTGCGCGCTTTTTTATCATGTCAGTGGCCAGACATGCGTGCGTGCTTGTATGCGTGCATGATGTATGTGTGCATGCGTGTTTGTTTATGGTTGAGAACGAGCGACCAGAGTAACCATTTTCCTCTCCTCTCCAAGTTTGCAAATTCCACTTGTGTTTTTGTTTTTGTTGTTTTCTTCTTTTCCGCATCTCTGGCCACTTAGTTTTTTTGCGAGGAATCTGTATCATATGTTGAACTACAAAACGGGTATTTAAATAAACAGTAGTTGTATCTCCAGTGGAAGTTTTCATGTAGACACGTGCACATTTTCTGCGGCTCTGAGAGATGAGAATGGCCCGCCAAACTACCTCAAAAGGTTTAGCGCAGAAATTTGAGCCTAGTGGAGGTACAGTTTAATGGTCATTTTGGCTTGTCAGACCAATCTTTTGAAGCATTATATGACTGTAGATAAGAAAAATAAAATGACTAGGTAATAATGATTTAAAAAAAAAGAAAAAAAAGATATACAATTCAAGGGATAAACTTCAGGCTGTAGGCAGCTTCAGGTACCATATTTCATGAATCATAGAAGTCTGTGCTATTTACCCATGACCACTGTTTTTAAAGTGTATTTTCTCCACATATTGTAATTTTATTTTGAATGACTGATTATGTGAATTCTTTTAGGCTGATGAAGAAGGAGAAGAGGAGAAAAAAAAGGAAAAAAAAAAAGATTTTTGATCTCTGCATTTTTTATAATGATGTACCTTTTGTATTAGTGAGCCGGAAGAAACAAAGAAAGATAGACAAACAAAACAAGAAAATGAATGAATAAATAAATAAATAAATAAAAACTTTACCCCCTCAAAAAAATATATATATACATAAAATACAATTTACTTTTTAGTAGTGGTTTCACGTCTATTTTTCGCTATTGTCTCTCTCGTCTCAGAGGAAAAGTCTCTCACACTGTATTGCATCATGTGTTTAGGATACGTCTGCTGTGTGGAGGGAATGGCAGAGGCCTCGGTCGGTGGGAGTCTTGAAGGAAAAATGGCCGGGTGTTGCCTCCATTTTTTGTCTTTTTTTTACTTTTTTTTTGTCGCCATGGGGGGGGGAGTGAAGTAGAGGCCAGGCTGGACACTTTCAGGATGGTCCGGTTCAGGGGAAGGGGGGGAAGGGGGGTGTTAAGGGGTATAGGGGGAGGGGGAGGGAGAGGGAGAGGGTGGGTTAATGGTCTAGACTTTTTTTTCTCTCTCGTGTTTTCTTATCTTTTTTTTTCATTTTCTTTATTTTTTTTCTTCTTATTTTATTTTATTTAAGGAGGGACGAAAACAAAAAAAAATGTGTACTCGTTCCCCCCGTTAACAGCTGAGGGTCATTTCGACGGCAGTGAAGCTTTTGGTGTGTTAGTAATGTAATTATTGATACGTGTAAGTATTTTATTTGGCGAGGATAGATACGTATGTATTTCGAATCGGTA